TTGAAGAAAATGGTCCATGACAAGGCTCCAACCTGCAAAGCTGATCTGGCAACAGCAATCAGAGAAAGTTGGAGGCAGATTGATGAAGAGTACTGTTTGTCACTCATTAAGCCCATGCCTCAGAGATTGCAAGCTGTTATAAAAGTCAGAGGTGGTGCAACAAAATACTAGTGATGTGTAGGAGCGTTTTTTTGTTTTTCATGATTCCATAATTTTTTCCTCAGAATTGAGTGATTCCATATTTTTTCCCTCTGCTTGGTCTAAAAAAATAACCGTTACTGACTGCACAATTTTTTTCTAGATTTCTTATAGTGTTTTTTAAGGCCAGAAAGTTTTTATTTGAAATGACTTTAGTTTTGCGTCATGTCTGTCATCTGCTTTTTTTCTACAAAGTGAAACAACTGAATGAACATCCTCCGAGGCCGGTGATTCCATAATTTTTGCCAGGGGTTGTAGAAAGGATCATGACCCTCGTTTTAAATCGGGCAACTTGCAAGGCTTCCAAGTGGAATTTCTTATTCAATTGAATAAAATTCTTCACCCTATCGCTGACCGATCCACCAAAATAGAAGTTGTTGCAATACAAAAAGAAGCCGTCAGGTTGATCATGCTCACTTGGGAGACACTCGTTGCATAAAAGACGCCCGCAAGACACTGCAGACTTAGGCATTGTGAGACCAGTGCCAGCAATCGATGAAGACTGCTAGCCGTGGCAAATCTTTATTTTTCTCCGTGCTTACATTCTTTGATGATCCCGCAATGCAGCTCTCGACGTGGCAGTGCGGAAGCACCGCAGGCTTTTGACTATCAACACTGAGTGCATGTAGGCCTGAGTGCTTCGTTGACGATGCACATGCGGCTTAGACTGGGATTATTATTATGGACCGCAAACAATTGCTCACTCAGGGCGTGCTACGATGCATTTGTGATTATTATGATGCGGGATTATTCTTTACAGAGGATAACCAGGTGCGCTCTAAACTTTGAGAGCATAGCGTTTTTGTGTTTTCCCTTTTGAAGGAAGATAAAACAGCACTTATCCGAGCGTTTGTTTTAGGCACGAAACTGAAAATACACTGATTTGAAGCATGTCTTCATGAACGCGTTTACGACTACAAAGAATATAGATTGAATATAGAGAGTTGAGCGATAATCTGCTAGTATATTATGAATACGCATCATAATTTACCGGTTAGGTAAACAGCATGAATAACAGTCGAAAAGCCAAGTTCGGGTTATTAGACAACACTGGTTTCCTTACCTGCATCCTGAGCACAGGGTCATCTTCTTCACAAGCTCTATCGAGAAGATGTGCGTACTCCATATACTCGGTGACCCGTTGCAGGAAGGAGAGAGGTTCGTTGAACACTACAGGCATGGTTATTTTCGAGAGCTCTTTGCCGATGCCTTGCTTCAGTACGGACCACAGGGAAAACTCGCCTGAAGAAGTCTGTTGTGGGGCTGGTAACCGTGTTCTGAAACAAGAGAGGAAGAGATAGTTTATCTTGTTTGCTTCTTTAGTAAGATGCTTGTGATAGTTTTGCATTTTTGGGGGATCCCATACATTGATTTAATAAGGGAACATATTTAATGATTTATGTCTTGCTCTTCATTTTCTTGCATTCATTTATGTGTGATTTATAACGCAAACACTAATACACGAGGGTAACATTGTTTCGCCAATTATGTCCTAATGTTCAAAATTATCCATTTATATAATTGTGTAAAAATATTTTTTTTGTGTATATAAATTTTTACATAACATATAATTGTGTATCCATTATTATTGTTAGGAAGAAGCATTTTGTCTATTCAAACGTTGCAATTGTGGCCAATTAGGATATGGTATATCGCACCTCGCACATTTATTTTTTAACTATACCTGCATCGCCATCGACTAGAAAATTCACGAGGACTCGTAATGCAGAGACATCCAGCTAGAAATTTTTGGCTCTGGTATTTTGAGATTTATTTGAGATGCACTTTAAATTTTCCACCCCAAGTTGAATGAAAATTAAACTCGAAAACAGAATACAATTCTTATAGGTTCAAAGAAGGAACACGTGAGCTTCATGGTAAAATTTACGGGACTAAGAGAGCAGTAAATTGCGCCTATTGATATTGTAATCACAGCGTGGCTTTCAATCAGAGCTGCAATTAACAGGCTTACGGGGCTAAAAACAATTCTTTTATACAGCGTACATCGTGTTGACGCAAAATTTTCTTGTTTTTGATCTCACATGCGTGGTTCATTATTTAGGGTTGGCGAAAATTTCTTATACATTTTTTAATATCATCAACTCGCCTCGTTAGATAGCAAGAAAAATATTCCGTTTCATGTAACCATCCCAGTTTAGCTGCGAAATAATATTTCTGAAAGACTATTAAATATCCATGGTGAAAATAATCCTTTGGAGATTTACGTGATGAATTTTTGGAGGTATTTTATTTTATGTGCATCAAATTGTTGTAAATGTTATAAGCGTCTACGTGAGTTTCAATTGTGGACTGTAATGAGCGATGCCGCAGCTTGCATTCAGCAAGGCAAAAGAAGAGACACCGCAAGTTGTTTTTAAGTCTCGAATAATTAGCCAATAATGCGGTTTTTCAGTGGCTTCTACAAATTATTAATTTTTTATGTATTTAAATTTTATATTTTCTACGTGCACGCCCGCGAAACTATGAGTATAGAATTATATAGAAAACAAAAAGTTTATTAATCGTATGACGGCTATTGTAGCCTGGGCAGATACATCACTTTCCCCCTCATTGCCTGGTTTACACAGCTGAACGTTACGTTGTATGTCGCTCCGACTGTTCTGCCTGGGCGTTTCTCTGAATGACATGGTCAGACACGACCAGTGTACAATGTTTTCGATCTGTGCTCCTTGTAAATTGTTCATGTTATAAGACATGGTCAATACATGCTCGGTTTGTGCTTCGTGTTGCTCGGTCGTGTGATGGTCCCTAAAGCTTCTATTATCGAACAATCTATTTTGTCACGGCTATCCTTATCTGAACGAAAGTTAATACGTTTGAATTACACGAGTGATCGATATATGGCCTCAAGCTCAATACCGATAATGGTATTTTAAAAACGCCGAATAAAAGCTGATTTAGTACGGCTATCACTGTATGCAATATATCCTACATAACATTTACTAATGAGTCGTAAAAACTGTACGAGAATTCAAGTCAAGTCAAGAGTCAAGGTTCGTTAACGATGTACTAGATTATGCAAGACCACGTCGCTCTAAAACTAAAGTTTTATTCAGCACGAGATCGCGCTGCGTGCTGAGGTACGTTAGGCATCCTGAGTCCTATTTTATAAAAGTACTATATAAATATTTCTTGAGATTTCTAATGAAAGAACTTGACTACACTAAGCAAAAGACTACAAATTAAAAGATATTTTGTTCAAGTATTTATTTGTTTACAAACTTTTAACATAGGTAAACGAGTAATTAAATATGCAATGATAGTAATAGCCATAACGCTGGAATCATATTCATGTTTAGTCAATGTTTGTGACGTGACCACGCTTTGTAAAGCTTCAGCTCCAACAATTTCCTCGGTGATTTGCCACTGGGACGGATATTTCCAAGGTTTACCTTCCATTAATGGGAAAACCTCGTTATAAAGACATTAATGAATCCATCCTGTGGCCAACGTCGCGATCTGTTTCATAATCTAAAGGCGACACCGTGCATTCATTATAGCGGACAAAATTTGAGATGGACAGTAGAATTATATTCTACAGATCCTCTTGTTCAGTGACCTCAAGTCCTATAACTTATAAGTCGCTACAATTTGACCCCGCTAATTACCAGTACCATAATTGCAATGATAGACGCCTTATTTTCTTGATTCCCGAACGTTTTAAAATTATAATTTCGTTCACTAAAGCATACTTCTTCTAATGCCATGGAATAGTGATAGAAATAATGCAAATGATTTGGAAGATGATACAGCTTTGATAGATATAAAGCCAAGGCACGGACGACGTTCAGGAGCAGTGCGTTCTGGCAGTGGTACTGATGCACTTGTACATGAGAGAAACCATAGTGTCACTGCTACTTTAATTAATTTAATTGCCACTTGCTAATCAGAATACGAGTCACGACAAGACATCCCTGTATATTTTTTAAAGAGAGTAATGCGAGACCGGAAATGTTCTGCTGTTATACAGTAGAAGCGAAGTTTGCGCTGTATAGTTACTGATTCCAAGGGCACAGATACCTGTGGATATCTAAAGTATCCCATTTAGATACTTTTACGTAGTTTATTTAAAGCGGAGAAAGACTTTTCACAATTTTTCTGAAAACATTTCGTTATATCGGTCATTGATCGTGGATCATGTAATTATAACTTTTATCACATTTTGCTCGCCGATCAACTATGCATTTTTGATATGGTTGGAAATGCCCCTTGAATTATTAATTCCCGCGAGTATTCAAATCAGTGCATTCCAAAGAAACGGTGAATGAATATGATATATTTTGTTATGCATTAGAGAATAATTGAATCCATTGGGAAATTAATGATATTACTTGGATTAGGCTACCAGAATAATTATTACTAAAACCTCCTTGATGGTCGGTGAGACTAATTGTTGGCTATCGGTTCTAACCTTCGCTCCAATTATCCATCGAATAAATATTGAATGAATTGGTTTCTTTTTTCTACTTCATCCTGATAGAAGTTATACTGTCTCGTATGTCATTCTTCATACAAATCCAACCTATTATAATAAATCATACAATACATTACAATTAAAGATTTCGGCGTTTTTTTATGACATTTAATCTTGGTATCACAATTTAAAGACTTGTGGATTAAACTCTGGAGGAGAAGATTAAAAGCTAACGAATGTCTTGTGTAAATTAGTTAACGAACTTAATTGTTTATGACGAACAAAACTGAAACTGACTGACGTTAATGTAATTGACTAACGAAACTGGATTTTAGAAACAAAAATATTATTGTATTTTTGGAAAGACGTAACCAAATTGATTACATGCATGCTTTTGCTTAGACTCGGAAATGCCTTTAATTGCTTTTAAAAGTTTGAAATATATATTTTTTATTTTTTAGATACATATATAACAACAACGAAGCGTCAGAAAAAGAAGAAAATTTCAAGTTTTACATGGTGACTGCTGGTTAGCAGCGATGCATTTGAGCGAAAGCCCAAAGCCTACTTCAGTTCTCGCGGAAATGGCGTCTGGACTGTAAAAATTTGCCGCACTGGACAAAATAATGCATCCCTACATTTCTGGCCTCTGAGGTAATTGGGATTTCATTACTGTCAGGGATTTTCTCAAGTGGCGATTTATCAAAGATTTCCTTTATGAGCCTACGCGACCAGCAACAATGGATGGTCTGAGGAATGGTATAACAAAAGTGGAATATAGAATCAAATGGAACAGCACTTGAATATGTTTATTGGAGTTGAAAATATAGAATAAGTTGGATGATTTTCTTTTAAACACGTGTAATACGAAAAAATTAGCCTTATCATCGATTTATGTTCAAGTTTAGAGATGCTTATCTAGCCGGTAAAAGCATGCAATGAGTGCAAAGGACACGCATCAATAGTCACACAGAAACTACCCGTATTTTCTTATCCCTACTCCCTGGCTACATCCCAGGCATACGAATTTGTTGTGAATAAATTGATTTGGTCCCCCTTCACCATTCACTCTTCTCGGCGTGGATAAGATGGATGAGAAAATGGATGAGAAAATGGATGAGAAAATGGATGAGGAAATGGATGAGAAAATGGATGAGAAAATGGATGAGAAATTGATTTGATTCAGAAGCAGGTGCCTTAGCTAAAGGTAAGGAAGCGTGCAGTGAGTGACGACAGTTAAAGTTGCAGTGCTGCATGCTCTCCCCGAAGCCTGCCGTACAGGCACAATTTACGGCCACTTGAAGCTGTGAAGAAGTGGTGTCTTGCTGGTCAGTTTTAATTTTAAACACAGGCTGGCGGAAAGCGATGACTTAAAACTTTAATTAATAACTTAATAAGAGTAAAAATGAAGGGTAATATTGTTATAAGGTTTGGAGCGAGGAGAAAAATATTAAAAATTAAGTCATTACTACCTGAATCATAAAAATATGAATAAGAGTTGTTTACGTTTCAGAGAGACGTTACACGACAGGACGGTTATCAAAACGAAATGGTTATCCTTACCTGTGTTGCTTTTCCACTTCAACGATAGAAGTCATGTTGAACACAAGAGTTGCACGTCAGCGCTCTGTTGAAGGATTATCTTATCACACTCAGGCCGATTTATTCCTTGTCCTTTCAGGGTTAGCATCAATAATTCAAGTGTTGGCTAATTTATAATTCAAATGTTGGGCCAATTCTACTTTCGTATTGAAATCCTCGAACGACACACAGATTTAACTCGCCACTTCAGCTATACGCGGCAAACATTTATCGGCAGTCTTAGAGAACGTAGGGTACAGTAAAATTAACGTGAGATTCCGGTGTGGAATTATATCTAATCTCAATCGTTATAGATTTCTACTATTTCACTTAGTTCCGTTTTTTACACGAGTTCTAAAACATCTCCTGCACTGATAAGGAACATTTATTTATGGTCTTACAGAAATACTTATTTTATGGTTTATAGTTAAATATAGATTCAAATTGAAAAAGTTGGCATCCGAACCATCAAACCCGGAGGCATTGTATACATGTGGTCTAACATTTCAGACACTGCGGCTGAAAGAGCAATCCATGATATTTGGCTATCAGCCGAGCAGATATGATTCCTAGATGGTTAAGGATTAACGTGCCTGATAATATAATATTACAATATTAGGCGAGCATAAAAGTTAATACTGTCGTGAGGCAATTTCAGAGATGAATCAAGTTGATATCGCCCTAGCGATACGAAGGTATAGCCTTCGTATTGCGCGGCATGCCACATGTTACCGGGACAGAGAATTCGCAATAAACACGTCGTATTTTGCTGCGACTGTTTTATAGCTTCGGTCGTAATAAAGTACATTGGTAAAGCTATTGTGCATCACTGAATTTCTTCCCTTAGGAATCACGATTGGAAGAATTACTTGTATATTAATTTAACGAGAAATAGCATAGGTGACCTCGGATATTTTTATTTACGTATTTTCAGGAGTGGATTCACGAGTCAGCTGTCGTAAAGTACTAAAATTAAAGGTACGTGACGATGTATTCAACATTTTAGCGGAAATTCTAAAGATGATTCGAGCGAGATCTGCTTTTTACCTTAGGAATGTACAAATCGAAGAGTTGCCATCAATGTAAGTCTTGTGCTAATAGCGGACTGCCGAATGTCCACGTACTTTAGAGTGCAGAATAATTCAATGTACTTACTCCTATTCTGCGTGACAGTGGCTGAAATTGTATTATTGAGTTGTGATGATAGTTAGTTCAGTTGCAAGAATTATTAACTAAAGTTTCACTTTTAAGGTTATTAATACTTATACATTTGAAACATANCGATAATTTATTTCCTTTTCAGTCTTCCTGTGTCATGGATTAGCGACACCACGAAGATATTAACAGCAAGCGGATGCTGAACGATCGTCCTAATAAAATATGTTCATAATTGATGCAATTAAATATTGTGTCATTCTCGGTGATATATCGCACTTAACAATACACTATAGTTGAGTTAACTTCAATAAATGAAACTTCTTCACAATATAGAAATGAATTAATTCTGAAGATATGCTGCAGTGAAAGAGGTTATTAGTAATCCTTAGAGATTCAAAGTGGTATTTGTACAGTCATTGTTTTGAGTGTTCCACCTAATTGCCGATGTGAGTCATACTTCTCTTATTTAAAAAAAACTATTGAAACAAATCTTCGATAAGTCTTGCCTCGCTAGCAGCCAAGCCATCAAACGATGACTCGTGATTTAATTTCTTCGGCCAGACGAAGCTTTTGCCGCTGAGTTCTGAGTCCTGAAAAATTCCGCTCGTTCGTAAAAAGTTAAATTGTTTATTTTACACACAAAAATTCTGATTGACGTGTTTCTCGTTGCTGTGAAACAAGTACCTAATGCAGTTCAAATCCTGACATAATTTTTGCATGGTTTATAATGGGAAAAATATTGTATTGTATCAATTATTGTATGGGTGTGTGAGCTAGATATTTTATTAAATTGCAGATTTGTTGCAGTAATTACTTTATATAAAGAACATGCCCTGTTCAGCTTGGAAAAAAGGAAAAAAATTTAGCTGGTCTTGGTTGATAGCTTTAATTATAGCGTTTCAATCCTTGAGGCAATATTGTAGACATTTGCGAAGTTATTTTGATAATACATAAATTTTCCACTTCATGTCATCAGTTTTTACCGGACCTTTTAAATATCTATTGTCAATTAAAAATATAATTAAATTTGAGACTTTTAAAAACCTAAGTTCCAAATTTTCATGTTCTTTGTCCTTGTACCTGAAAATGTACTGATCATGGAATGAACTGAAAATGCATTCAAGTTGCGGAATGAGGCTGTGACAATCGACACTCATTCTAGCAATCATAGCCATGCAATAATCCAGAGTACGTCAGCCAATCAGAGTCGTCTGCATCAAAGTTTTTTCATTCATACTGGTGCCTCAAAAATGCAATTTCTCTACGGAGATCTTAGCGATCGATAATAATTTTTCAGATCGGGACCATATGCACAAGCCCATAACCTCATATTTTGGCCAAAACCTAGGCTACATTTTGATCATATTGGATACCTGTGGAATTGTATGTCTCGGTTTTCATTCGGTGCTCTAATCAAGCTCGTTAGATTTCATGACTCATAATGACTGAGGCCATGGTTGAATTAATTATTAATTCAACCATGACTGAGGCCTTTTCATTAACTTTAGGATTATGCCCAAATTAGGAGTGAATTTGAGCCGTGAAAGTAAATATATCTTTGCAAATTATTAGAGGAGAAACGAAAAAACCATCATCTCCTGGACTAGTTCGATTAGCTCATGAATCGCTTACTGTTCTTATTTTGACTGCTTAAATAAAGATGCCTATTTTAGATTTTCATTTTAAATCTTCACAATTTGAACTAGACTGACGTGAGCCATCGTGTAACTAAGATGACGGGATGAGGTGGAAAATATTTTCACGAGTCAATTCTGCTTCGATCAAACGGAAGCGACCGATCTATTCCAAAGTGACGTTGCCAGCAGCTGTTGTCGAGCTCATGTGATCCTCAGAGCTGCTCGGAATCTCTTGAAGCTTCAATGGGATTTTCTGATAGCCGAGAGGGACAACAGGAACTGCTCGAAGTCGCTTTCTTTCAAAAGTGGACATTGTAAAATACGTATTCTAGCGTTCAGATAAGATATAAAATAAAAATATAATTATAGAAAATAACAAAAAACTGAACAGTTTGAGCAATTTGCAGTAATTCTAACAAATGGGGAGCGAGAGCTTCAGCCATAAGTAATCTTGTTATTCAGAGCCTGCGAGGCTCTCTGAAATAGAAATATACGTCCTGGCTCGCACTTTCCTTTTTACGAGGCGCAGAGTTCCGTTGAGTCAGCGATCTCGCCTATTTTTAGCTTTTATCCTCTATTCCAATTAGGATGTATTTCATATATT